CGTGCCACACATCTTTGCACATGTGCGTGCATTGCCTGCAACCCCCGCCCCCTCACATGCATGCCAGATATCTGACAATCAACTGTCGGGTGAGCGGCACACATGCATGTACGGTAAATTTGCTCTGAGGGCTCGCGTGCCAGCAGTAATGGCTCTGCGTGCCACTTCTGGCACGCAGGCCATAAGTTCGTAATCACAGGGTTAGAGCACGTGGGAAACCTGGGGGCTTCCAGGTCACCACTAACTTCACTGTCAAATTTCACACTGACATGGTAACATTTAAGTACTGGGATACCAGTTCAAATAGACCTCACATAGTTTTAACAGCAAAAGAAACATCCCTCTCTACAAAGCAGAAAAAAAAATATTCTGCCCTGTCCATTTGTATGGTATGACCACAAAGATTTGCCTGTCCTGATTGACACAATTATGTTGGTAATACCAGGGGACATTCAAGCACTGAGCTTGCTATTCTAAGCCAGAGTGGAGGTGGAATTTAGCTTAGTACATTTCTGACAGATGGGAGTCTAATCTCTTCTTGAAAGTCACAAGTGATGGCGCTCCCACAACTTCCGAAGGCAACTTCTGTTCCACAGGTTAATTGTTCTCAGTGTTAGAAAGTTTCTCCTTTTTTCCAGGTTGAATCTCTCCTTGATCAGTTTCCATCCCTTATTCCTTGTCTGGCCTTTGGGTGCTTTGGAAAATAGCTTGACACCCTTCTCTCTGTGGCAGCCCCTCAAATATTGGAAGACTGCTATCATGTCTCCCCTAGTCCTTCTCTTCACTAGACTAGCCAGGCCCAGTTCCTGCAACTGTTCATTGTATGTTTTAATCTCCAGTCCCCTAATCATCCTGGTTTCTCTTCTCTGTACTTTTTCTAGAGTCTCAACGTCTTGTTTATAGTGTGATGACCAAAACTGGATGCAGTACTCTAGGTGTGGTCTTACTAAGGCTTTATAGAGTGGTATTAGTACCTCACTTGATCTTGATTGTATCCCTCAGTTAATGAAACTTAAGACTGTGTTAGGTTTTTTGGCTGCTGCTGCTGGCTCCTATTTAGCTGGTTGTCCACTAAGACTCCAAGATCCCTCTCACAGTTACTGCTTTGAGCCTGGTTTCACCCAGTGTATATGTGTACTTTTGGTTTTTCTTGCCTAAGTGTAGGACTTTACTTTTCTCTACATTGAATTTCATTTTGTTAGATAGGGCCCAGTGTTCAAGTCTGTCAAGATCCACCTGGAACTTGAGCCTACCTTCTTGGATGTTAGCCATTGCTACCAGCTTAGTATCATCTGCAAATTTGGTAAGTTCCCCTTCTATTCCCTCATCTATGTCATTAACATAAGCTATTTAAGCCCTGGGATGTGTGAATTTAGACATTCATTAAGCCCTGGGATGTGTGAATTTAGACACTGTTTTCTAAATCATGGTTTATAGTTTAGCATCATGTGTAAACTAGGCTGCTATGACTTGTTTAATAAATCCATGGTCTGGCCTATGGAATGCACACAACTTTCCAAGTAAATGTCCTTTGGTTTTTCTCAGGGCTCAGGAAAGAGCAAAGTACCTCAGAGTAACATGTCTTTCTCACCTGTAAGGATGATCTCCAAAGCAGCGGTCCCCAAACTTTCTGGCTTGGCAGATTGGGGGGAGGGGGGGAGGGAGAAGGGATGGTTCTGTGTGAGTAGCAGGTGCGCATGTGAGTGTGCACACTCTCCGATCATGCAAGTAGAGCTGGGCACATATGGTTGCTTGCCCACTATTTGAATGGCCATGGCACAGTACTGGACTGCAACCCAGGGGCTGGGAACCCTCCTCTAAAGGAAGCCCTGCAGCCCATTTCTGAATATATAAGATGTGAGATTATATCAAATGTGATTGACAGGGAAAAAGAGGGAGAGAAAGGAGATGTCTGCTCAGACTCCGTTTAGAACGGGAGTGTCAAACTCAAGGGCCAGGGGCCGATCCAGGGTGCTTAGATCTGGCCCACAGGGCCGGGCTGGAGATAGCAAAGGACCGGCTTGCAGTACCTCTGCCAGTGAAAACAGAGCTCACGAGGCCCACACACGCCCCTCCTGAGCTCCATTTTCGCTGTCAGAGGGTTTCAGGAAGCTGTCGCAGCCAAAAACGGAGCTCAGGAACCTGTTTTTGCTGCTGAGTGCTCGGGCCACCACAGGCACCCCCCAAAACAAGAGATGTCATGCCAGCCACACCCACCCTGGCCATGCCCACCCCGGCCACCCAAGGTCAAACACAACCCAGATACAACCCTCAATGAAATTGAGTTTGATACCCCTGGCTTAGAACAATAGTAACTGGGTTACTCCATCAATCAATCAGAATAGAGCTTGGATGTCTTCTAGTTGAACTCCCTACTCAAGCAGGAAACTACACCATTTCAGACAAGTGGCTGCCCAGTCTCTCCTTAAAAACATCCAGTAATGAAGTATATGGCAGGAATGTATTGCTGCAATTTGTCAGTCTTGGCAGGCATAGAATAGAATATAGGCAAAGAAGGAAGGATGTACATTCCTAGTCCCACATGATGAGAACTTGGTCCACTTGTAAAGAATGCGATCAGAGTCAGCTGTGATCCATGAGGTTGGTTTTGAGTGCCTGCCTTTGGCTTGTCCTGCTCAAGTATTGTCAGCCTTCTCAAATAAACAAGATGGGAAGCATGACTGGATGAATTAATTCTACTTGATTGTGTGAAGCTGCATTAACAAAATCTTGCAAGCCTGAAAGTCCATATTTCCTGCTGCTCCTTTTAACTGCTTTATCCACTAGGACAGATCCCTTCCTAAGTTTCTTCCTCTGTCAAGCCACTGGGAGCTCCTGCCTCTCGTATGATTGTTTCCTAGGCAGCTTTTCTGTCCTTCATTCCCCAAGGTCATCCACACAGTCCCTTACAAGCACGGAGCCATTTCTTTTTTCTTTGCTATTCAAGAGATACAAAACTTCAACTTTCCTATATATGGCTGTGGGCTGCCAAAAATGGCTCAGAGGTCCATGAGGCTGGGCCCACAACCAAATTATTTATACCCATGTTCTGCTTTATTAAAAAATAGATAACAGGCCAAAATAAAATGGTGGGGGAAATAATTCTGATTTGCAGTAACTTTTTTGTTACATATTTTTTAATTCTGTAGAAACTGTTATGCTAATTTATGAAAAAGCTTTGGTGAACTAGCCCTCCTATGTGACAAGATGAAGTTCAAGTTAGTATGATGTTTAAATATGAACAAAGAATAATGAAAGATTAAAAAATTAAGAATTAGAAAAGTTTAACGCTAGACAACAACAGCTAGTCATAATAATACTATACAGTATGTCCAGAAGAAAACAAGGGTAGTAAAAGATTGGAGGTCAATTCTGATTAGAAAAGCTGGAAGTAACTGGTTATGCATAGCCTGAAATGAGGGATGATTAGAAAGAAATTGGGAAGTCATCTTCAGACATTTAAAAATTTGTTGCAAGGATGATGAACTACATTTGACTCATGGTGAGCCATGGTATCCTTTCTGAGATGATATTTTGACAACTTTCCCCATTTCCAGGCAGAGAACCCATCCATATCTTTGTCTTGGTCACCCCTTGATGAGGCAGTATTTTTCTAATATGTACTTAAAGAGAACCATCAGCTTCAAATTAGAAAACAAGATGTTATAAAATTGAGAGAATTTCCTGCTTGGCTAGAGTGTTTGGGATTACTTAAACTGCTTTGGAAGTTTGGTATATTTATTTATTTATTTGTTTGTTTGTTTGTTTATTTATTTGATTTGTCAATTGCTTACAAGATAATAGGTATAAGTATAAACATAGTTATGAATACATGGACACATATAAGAAAATAAAAGAAACAATTGGACAGGGGCGGTAGGCACTTTGGTGCACTTATGCACGCCCCCTACAGACCTCTTAGGAAAGGGGTGAGGTCAATAGTAGACAGTCTAATGTTGAAGTTTTGGGGGTTTGGGGAAGAAATGACGCCTTCTATAGGTGAGCAGCTACACATTTCATTCATCAATGAGATGATGGACGATATAACTTGGGAGTTCTTCAAGATAGATTTCAGGAAAATGTAGTTCCAGCATATACAGTAGTGTTGGATATACAGTGGTACCTTGCTACTCAACTGCTTTGAGCCTCATCAAATTTGCAACTCAATTCATTTTGACACAAAAATTTTGCCCAATATTTATTGTTTATTTGGTACTCAACGTACAAGCTAGAAGTTGATGTCAGCTACCTTGTGACTCACTACATTATTCCTTATGGGAAAATTTTGTTTGGTGCTCATTGGTTTTGGTCTTCATTGCCCCTCCTGGATATCAATCAATAGTGAGATACCACTCAGTATATACAAAGTAGACATGCAAATATGTCCATCAATCAATATTTCTACAGTATCCTTTATGTCCTTAAAATGCCATGCATAGGTCAAATGTAAAAATAATTCACACTAAGAGCATTTCTTTGAATGTATGCCCATCACTCTCATGACCAGGAGGACTAATAAGGCACTCTTGATAAGAAAGAAGAAAAGAAATGTATCCAAATGTGCTCTCAAAGGACATCCTTGGAATATGTTAGGTTGTGCAAAAAAACAAGTATAGGAATGTGCAACTTGTCATAGTTTGGCATTTGGGAGGACTTGGGAAGTGACTAGCCAAAAATAGTACACGAGGCCAGGAGATAAACTCAATTCAATTGGATCTCGCTGATCTTAAAAATGTATTCAAATTAATCACAAACTGATTATTCTCCACTTATATTTGTAAATCATTTTTCCTTCCTAACCTTTGTTAAAAATTATAAACTGGCATCAGGTTTTGGAAGACTTTGGGAAAAACTTTATCCTGGAGGAATACAGGCATGTAAAAACATTGGGATGGAGGTTTATGGTTAAAACTCATGACACCAGACAAGTTATTTTGAAGGTAGCCAATCTTGGATGACTTCTTCCACCATCACCCTGAAAACCAGTGAAGTAAACATACCTTCTGAAGGATCAAGTCTCCTTGCTCTTCGCCCATGTTTTGAGTTGTTGTGAACAAACATATTGTCTGATACTGCCAGGACATGCCCGTCAACATTCACTGTTGTTGATAATACAACCTGGATGTTAAAAAAACAAAAAGCAAAAAAGAGAAAGGCAGATAAATTACATCTCCCTGGTCCATGTTTCATTGCCTAGCCAAGTTTAAGCTCACATTCTTCTTTTGTAAAAGTAAATCCAGTCCTTATAGGGATTAACCTATTAAATGGGAGGAAAAATAGCTTTTATATCTTGATTGCAATAGTAGCAGCAATGTGTACTTGCCCAGGATGAAATGAATCAACAGTTTGATTTTGACAGCTGAATTGATTCAGTTTGGATTGTGCATTCAAGCAACCAAATAAACATGATTTGATCTTGTTCATCAGTTTTAAAAAAGTGTGGAGACATATCTGTAATAGTCTCACTTGATCACCAAACCAATTTGAACGGACCTGATTTAATTCAATATGCCAGACGAGTTTTAGTACAAAGAGATGAGTTGATTTATAAACCAAATATTTGAGTTGAATCTTCATGTAAAACAATTAAGCCTGTACTAAACATCAACCCTAAGGATATTAACAAGATTGTCATGCTTTGATGCCACAGACTGTACATAGTAGTTCCCAAATTTCTTAGCAGACAGTGTCTCCAACTTTCTTTCAAAAAGCTGTGAATAGATAGAAAGGGAAGATCCCAGTGTGAGTCAGTGGTAAAAACACTAAAATAGGACCAGGGATACTTGTATTCAAATCACCCTCAGCTTTCAAGAGCAGAGTTGATGTTATGGGGAAAAATAAGAGAAAGGGTTTCGCTATATTCCACCATGAGCTCCTGGTGGAAAGATGGTACATAAACATAACAAATGCATGACATCTCATGCGCAGATAAAGTACATGCCAATCATTTAAGCCTTAAATATTCAGATAACATGGCAATGAATGAAATATTGGCTGAATTAAGAAAATGGTCATCCTTTCTCTAGTCTCCAAAAATTCAAATGAGTCTTCCTGGAGTAAATTTACTGAAGATTAGTTTGCATTATCTATGTCCTATCTGAGATGAAACTTATAGAACTTTGGAATGTCTTTCCCAATGATATTTATTCGCCATCACCACTATCTTTAAGGACTGAACAAAACCATTCATTCTTTGTTTTCTTTCTCCTCCTCCTCCTCCTCCTTAGATGGGTATGGTCATTACTTTATTCAAAGTTGCTTCCCAAGTGGCTTCTAAAAATAACACAACTCAAAGGAAGAGGAATGGAGAAAGCAAAGGAACATAGCCCTTGTGTTATAAAGCTGTAATGTTTGTAGATCTGATCATAACACTCTTTTGAGAGATGGACTACTGAAAGTCAGAATGGAAACAGCTCAAAGACAGGAAGAAGCCAAGGCACCAATCTCATTGGTATGCTAACATGGTAATTACACTTCCTGCCTTTCTCATTCCTGCTATCTGATGGGGTAGGTTCAAGATTACAAGTAGGGGAGAGGCAAGGTTTGATGAGTTGGCTTCTCAACAGAATAAATACTGTCCCTGATTTCCCAAAAGTGCTTTTTCAAAAGGCAACAGGACTTTGTTTTTCCTTGAAAACATTTCGCTTCTCATGCAAGAAGTTTCTTCAGTTCTCTTGGATGGGAAGTGAAATGTTTTAAAGGAAAAATAAAGGCCAGTTGCCTTTGAAAAAGCACCTTTTGGAACAACCTGGATGACTGAGAATTTCCATAGATATTTGTCCCTGATTTCCTTCCCTTATTTTCCTGACATCTGGTGGAATGGCTAAAGAAGTTATGTCAATGGGGGGGTTTTTTGCCCAAAGTTTTATCCTTGCTTTGTGTTTTATTGAGTGATTTGTTTTCTTCTTTGTATACTTTACTCTTGTGCTCATTTCTAATCACATTAAATAAAGCGCTTTGAATAAAATAAAGAATATTTTTTTTATGTTTGAGGCAAAGGATTGCTTCTTCCAAAAATCTGAAAGTTGGAGATGCCTTTAGCACTGGTGATGTGTCTTTTTCCACACTGTGGTGTTCTAATCCCACTTTAGTAGGCTGGCTAACTTTGGATGAGTCATTCTCTTTCAGTCCATAACGTCAAACTTGGGTGACAAGCTAGTTGGTCAATTCCTGTTGCAATCAAATGGACCAAAACATCATTGATCAAAAAAAAAAAAAGCGGACCCTGAATTTGCATGAAAGTGATGGGGGAGTGGGGGACTGCCTTGCTGGGAAATATGCAGAGAAAAAAATATCACACATTTTTGCATACACAAAAAATATCAGGGCGAGAAAGTGGGAGATTGTGAGAAAGGAAGGAAGGAAGGAAGGAAGGAAGGAAGGAAGGAAGGAAGGAAGGAAGGAAGGAAGGAAGGAAGGAAGTTAGTTTCCAAATTGGTGCTCATCATTACATCTTGCTGTACTGAGTTCCACAGGCTAACCTGCTTCCTTTTAATCTCTTTCTTCCATCATTCATCTTCCTTTAATCTGACCTGAATATTCTCTCATTCAGAAACAGTGGTTGCTGCTAGGTGTCTAACTGAAGCATATTGTGTGTAACCCATCATAGAATATTAAAGAGACAAAAAGAGGCACGAGGGAGCCAACACTTGTAAAGGAAAGGAGATGGGTGGTTAAGAAATATGAAATAAAAATAAAGAAAACACGCTTTGACAACATATAAATAGTCTAGAAATAATATGAAAGCTCCATTTTCAAGTTAAGAGCAGGCAAGACAAAATTGCAAATACGAGGAAGCTGCAATGATAAAGAAAACATTGAAAACACCCTCAGATTCAGGGAAACATTATAGTTGTGAGCTTCAGCTCATGTTTGTGACGAGACAGGAAGGAAAAAGTAGGATTGGAATCCAGGAGGTAATGGCAGAGGGAAAAGAATACAAACTTCACAAGGTGCAAGGAAGATTGCCTTAATCCTAGATATCCCATTGTAAAAAAAGCCTTTAACAGCTGATAAATTATTTCCTTTCCTTTATCCTCCCTTTCTTTGGAGAGGGAAGGGATCAGGGCAGGAAAACTGCTTTTCCTTTCTAGACCATTTTTATGCTGACTGAACAAATGCATTCTCTTTCCTGCTCTCTCTCTCCTCAATATGAGTTTAATTCATTCCAAAAGGCACTTGTCATACTTTACATTAAGAGTGTCTTTGCATTCCTGCCCCAAAACGTGTTGCTTTTGTGTGCCAAAAAGGTTTCGTCATTTGACAGTCTAGGTGGAGTTGGGACCTTGTTCCAAAGTGAACAGTTCCCCCATGACACGTGAGAGCTCCAACAGATGCAGTTCATTATTTTCCCTTAAACAATGGAAATAAATTTTAATCTCTCGCTGGCCAGCCCAGACCACACTACGGCAACCAGGGAATAAGGCTGAATTATTCCAGTGTCTGAAATATTTACGAGAGGATTTTAAATTGTAACCAAATGTAAACTAAAGAGTGGGTTGTTGCACCTTTGTACAACAGACACAAATCTAACCACCAAACAGACAAAACATTGCCTTCTAAACATCCATGAGGATAGAGATAAATAGCCAACCACATAACATGCTAATATATTTTACATCCAGGTTAAAAATGTATACATTGTAAAGTTTAATTCATAAGAAGCAGAGGAGAAGGAGGGCATTCAGAACTCTCAATGATTTGGCATCAAGGAAGATGCAGTGGGAGGCAAGTTTCATATTTTATCATGTTAGGTAAAATTTAGTTTCCAGTGTGGAAGATAGGTTTAGTAGATGTCCTAATTCTTCTGGTTATATTAATGAAGGATTTCCTTCCCCAGTCTGGAAGTCATATTTAATGTAGAATGTAGCACTATAAATATTTATTTATTAAACAATTTATTATAGCTGCCCAAATCAAACATGGTGACTATGATGTAGGCAGGACGAAGGCCCAAACCCAGTGAAGAGACAGTAAGATCCAATAAAGTTCACTTCTTTATTTGGTGTTACCTAATGGAGCGAAACTTGGACTATACAGCACAGAAAACAAAAAGACTCTCCCTAAATCTTTTTTTAAAATGGTAGATGAAATAAACTTAAAAGATACATGGAGAGAAAGAAATGCTAAAACTAAACAATACACCTTCTATTCAAATAGACGCTTATCATGATCCAGAATAGATATGATATGGATGTCAACAGAATTAATAACTAATATTCAAGAAATAAATATTGAAACAAGTACTTGGGCAGATCACAATCCAATGACAATTAAATGGAAAGGACAAAAAAGAAGATCTAGATGGACGTTAAATAATACTATTTTAAAGGAAAAAGACTTCACACAGTGGATGGAGAAAGAATTGGCTTTTTTCTTTAGAGAAAACAAAAAAGAAGATACATCAGTTCAGAATGTATGGGATACAATGAAGGCATATGTTAGAGGCTTGATAATAGACTATACAAGGAAAAGAAATATTATGAAAAGGTTAGCCTCTAAGACCCTAGAGGATGAGTATAAAAGACTTGAAAAAGAGCTACAGAAAATGCCACAGAAAAAGGACATCAAGCTAAAAATGGATATAGTTAAACATAAAATGGGTCAAATAGAAAAAGAAGAAATAGCACAGAAAATTAGAGGTGCTAAACAGAACTACTCTGAAGACACAAACAAACCAGGTAGATGGTTAGCATACAAATTGAGAAAGAATCAAGGAAAATATTGCAATTAACAGATGACCAAAGCCAAGTATGCTATGGTAGTAACGAGAAGAAGGAAATCATTCGAGACTTCTATGGGAAACTATATATGCAAGAGAATATTGATGAGGAAAGAGTTAAACAGTACTTACAGAATGCTAATTTACCTCAGATACCTAAAGAGATAGAAACAATGTTAAAAAGCAATATAACGATGATGGACTTAACTGAAGCACTCAAGAAGCAAAATAATGGAAAGGCACCAGGCCCAGATGGACTTCCAGCAGAATTTTACAAAACATTACAAGAATCGTTGAATCTTCCATTGCTAGAAGTTATGAATGAAATTATGTTAAAGAAGAAGATACCTAAATCATGGTCAGAAGCCTATATTACACTTATTCCAAAAGAGGAGGC